ATACATTTTTCCTTTTCCCTTAACAACACTATGTCCTATATCTCTTAAGTTTATTTACATTACTTCTCGTACATTTTTATTCCGCAATTCTAGCCAGTTATAATACATGTCCCATACCTCGTAAAATTCTGTAGCTTCTCTGTCTTTTATTTCTAAGGAAAGTTTGTTCATCTCAGCACAGTCTAATATCTTACATACAAATGCAATCATTGCATTTGTTGGTATGTTCTCCCTTTTCCAACATTGTGCATATGCAATGCGTGCTGCAGTTATAATATGTATAGTGATATATTGGAGTCATTTCTCTATTTTTGGGTTAATTATGCCTAATAAAAATATTTCAGGTTGAGTTCAATTTGTTGTTTTGTTATTTCCTGTACCATCTTCTTATCTGCTCCCAATAGGTCTTTGCTTTGGGGCATTGCCACCACATAAGATAAAATGTTCCTTCTTTGTTTTTACATTTCCAACAATCCGGATTCATATTTTTGTATATTTTAGCCAATTTCACCAGTGCTAAATGCCATCTGTAGAACATTTTGTATTGGTTTTCCTTGTATGAAGTTGACAATGTTAATTTGTAATTTATGTTCCATGCTCTTTCCCATTCCTCTAATCCTATATTTCTACCTATGTTTAGGGCCCATGCTATCATCGGGCCCTTTACTATTTCTTCTTCTGTACGTGTCTAGATATATATTTTTATGACTGCATGCCACCCAGAGTTACCCTATGGTAAGATGGGTGGCCAATAAATTAAATAAATAAATAAATAAATGATAATTAGGAGAAAAAGAATCAGGTTATGACACAAGAATTCCATCAAAGAGTCACTTAACTTCAATTGCCAGAAGAATGGCTTTTGATGTGAACACTATGAATTTTTTGCCTATAAACCCCACATGAGATTTCTTCATTAAATACAAGAGACTTGGTGATTCACAGATTAATGTATTAACTGTCTCCATTAGAAAGCTGTGTAAGGTTTTGGAAGGCATGCTTATAAAAGTGCAATATATAGCATCTAATCATAATAATGATTGCCAGTCTGCTTCAAAGTGCTGGGTACGGCCCATATCTATGCAATGAGAGGTAATATTAGATGCTGCCTTGTCTAAAATGATCTATCCATCCTCTCAGATAATCTCAAGATCTCTTTTAGGTCTCCCCAATTGGGAAGCCAAGAGAAAATCAAAAGTTGCAGTCACTCAACAATCTATATGGTCCTTGCTTAATTACGGTAACCAAGGACTGCCAGAACTGCCCTCAAAAAGCAGCATGATCATGTGATGTGATATTTACAACCTCGTTGCTTAGTGAGAGAAATTCCAGTCCCGATTACCACTGTTAAGCAAGAATAGCCTATATTTCAGTATTAAATTATATTACAGTTCTAGGTAGCTTTAATGTTTTGGAGCATATCTGCATTTAATGTTTAAGCCTTTCCTGTCCTGTACTCATGCTGGCTTCACTCTATGCCAAGAAAACAAACTGATAGATCATTAAACAAATCAACCCCAAATTCTCACTAGTGGCATAGTTGGACAGGCTCAAATTATTCTACTTCGAAGACATTGTGCAAAGAGCTAGTTCTGATCAATAAGTTTTTTTCCTGGAAGCAGTGAAATTTGTAGTCAAACACCAGAATGGAGGGTATCAAATAGGAACAGAGTGCTTTAAATTCCTTGCTATTCTATCCTAGTTGCAAATAATGTTTTACCATTTGTTTGTAAATTCTCATTCATAATAGTCAAAATTCTATCAGGTTGCTTAGTCATTTATAAGGGAGAAACACAAACAGGTTTTGCCACATTTTCTCTCCCCCCCCCTTAAATATTACAGTGATCCAGAAAGTTTTACTGCTCTATGATTCGGATGCTGTATAATCGAAGCGGTTTGGCTTATATGTGTTTGTGGAATGGACCGAGGCTCATTGCAGCGCTGCAATGTTCATGTGCAGCTGTGAAACCTGGAGCTCTCACTGTGCCTGAGAAACAGCACAGAAATATACTGCTGGCTTTGCAGCCTCATCTGGAGGAATCCTGAGAGAAGCATGGGTCACATCTGGTCTGTCTATGTTGAAGTTCCCATTTTCCATTTGTGGAGTGTTTCCTTGTATGGAATAACCGATCAGTTTTAGTTCTGTCTGTCCACTATTAAGCTCCTGCCGATACCAATGGATGACTAAATAGCTGCTGTCATCATGTTCACAAGCAATGATGTCCATCTGGGTCCCTGCTTGGATGATTTTGAAGCGTTCCTTCTGGGTCACAGTGACTCCGTGGCAAAGACCTATGAAGACTGCAAGGGAGAGCAAGATCCATCCCAGGGGAGAGGCTTAATACACACGGTCACACTTGAAACCTAAAAGTGCTGTTTTCTGTAAATGTATCTTTCTCTTTCAGAATAAGATTTACTCTCCTTGTCTCACTAATGTTTCCTATAAAATCCTGCTCACATATCACCAGAAAAAGGCTTAGAAATTGCATAATGAGGGACAGGGGTGTGGGAAAGCTACTGTATGAGCTTTATGTCTTTTCAATAGCATTTTGTTTTCCCTTTGCCAAATTAAATGCACTTTTTATTTCCACCTTCCCATAATAAAGAGAATGCTCAACACAGCTGAAAACAACATAAAGGCAGAAATAAACTCAAAGACAATATGCTGAAAGGCCAACAGTAGTGAAATCATTATACTAATAAATTAAGGCATAATATATCAAGTATAATTTATAATTCTATATTAATCATATTTAAGACAGAGGACAATAATCAGACATCAAAAGCTGGATCACTTCTATTCTAGCAGAGGCTTCCTAACTTATTTAGACAAACCTCCTAATTCTCACTTCTTGATGAGTTTGTTCCCTCAGCTTTTTTTTTTTTTTTTGCTACAAAACTTCTCTTCTTTCTCTTTCTTCCTAACATCATTTTTCTGTGTGTGTTTTTTTAATGTCGTGAATAGCTAAAATCATCTATCCACTTGAGAAAAAGAATCCCTACCTGCCCATAACTGCACACCGAGTACTTCCCACTGCATTTCTCCTCCTGCAAGAAAAGTCACAGCTTGACAGCTGAATCCTGGCTCAGAAGAAGCTGTCTAGAACACCGCTTTGGTGGGAGAAGGGCTTCTCAGCCTCTCTAACCAACAGGAAGTGAAGGTGGGGACCTGTGATGCCAGAGGAAATCACTTCTATTCCAGTTATGTAACTGACTCAATAACAATATTAATGGCAGATTATTACAGACATTATTAGCAATGAAATCAGGGATTTTTTTTCAATTCTTCCTTTACTTTTTGAATGATCTCAGTTTTCAGAGTACATTCTGCATTCAGCAGTCTCTTCTGTGCAAAGCTGCCCTTTGCTATTCATTTTCAGAATGGATTTTGAACAATCAAAGATTATTATTTCCTTACCGAAAAATTCTACCATTTCTAGTAATCAGGAGAATTAAAAGGACAAACCTTAAATCTGAGATTTACTTTTTCTCTTTTCTATTAGATGTAATAGACAGGGAAACGGATTCCACACTGAATTAAACAGAAATGTTCCGGTATAGTTGAATTTTTCAGTTGTAAAATGAAAACTGATTTAAGCAGAGATGTGACCAAAATCAGCTGTTAGGTTAGTATCAGTTTTGTGGTCTCTATTGATAGACACATTTCCAGTCTTTGTTTTTAGCAGAAATGTTATGACCATGTTCAATACACTTTTTCACCCACATTCTGATCTCCATCGTTTATGCAGTGTCATCCAACAAGACCCAGGAACATTTGAAATGGTAATGATTACATCACCACAAAGTTTTTCCACTTCATAGAAATAATATTTACTTACCTGCAAGGAAGTCAAGAATAGAATCTTTAACATTTAGTATGATAAATTTAGATTCCACAGTATTGATCTAAGAATAGCAGGATTAAATGGTTGGATTGGGTAAGGGGGAAACTCATGTGAATTCCCTCTTTCTGCTCCACCTGTTATTAGTTGAATTCCAAGTAACAAAGTTTGTATTTTCCATTGTGTATTTTTCCTTTTGGTTGAGTCTTTGGAGCAAAGATAATACTGGTCCCACAACATAAATATGTGTAGCAACTCCTCTGGTCTTCCCCATTGATGGAGGAAGGCAACAGGAAGTTCATTTGGCTGATAGCATTCTTGGGAGCAACTGGTAAGTCAATCATTTCCTCAGAACAAGAGCTGAGAAGTCTTATCTTCAGATCGATAAGAAACTTTTGTAGATTTTCAAGTAGAATTTAAATAGCAAACTAGTCAGCCTGAGAACTTTTTCTAACAATTCAGTGCTGATTTTGTAAAGGTGGGACTCCTAAACCACCAAGATTAAATTATAGAATTTTTTCCTGGGATTTCTAGTGGTCCATATATTGAAAAGCTGTCAAAATTCAGAAACACTGGATTACAGTATTATATTAGACAAATATCATTAATTTTGAACCAAGTGTCCTTGTGAATAAAATAGCCAAGGAAAGTTGGTGTTTCAGCTGAAGTTGCTAAATTATTCTGCACAGTGTGTGGGCTAACATATCTTATTCCCAATAATAACACCAGGAATAACTGAGAACACACAACCTCTTCTTTGAGGCAATGGCAAGAGACAAACCCTAGGCTCTTTAAAACTAAACCCAACAGCTCAAATATTCTTAAAGATTATCCATAACTTGAAACACAAATCATTATCAAATGATTCCATAAAGAAGGGATTCAAAGGAACTTTGATTGAGGGCTGTGCAATACTTTGATTGTGAAGGCAAAAATATGCTACAAAATATATAAGGGCTCATGAATAGCATCTGTCTAGACCAGTGTTTCTCAACCTTGACAATTTTAAGGCATGTGGACTTCAACTCCCAGACTTCCACAGCCAGCAATGCTGGCTGTGGAATTCTGAGAGTTGAAGTCCACATGCCTTAAAATTGTCAAGGTTGAGAAACACTGGTCTAGAACTCTTGAAATCAGATCCACCTTTTCCTAGGGTTGCAGATCACCTAATTGTAAATCTTGGGGCAGAAAAATCAGTATCTCTAAGGAAATGGAGATATGCCGTATGCATACCTTCCCATACTCCAAAGCAGGCTTTGCCTTTGGATCAGAAGTACTACATAGCACAAACATGCACCCCACTACATCTCATCCTAGAAGAGTGGAAATTAGTAAATTTAATAGAGTAGGCACACATGTTTCAATATGAAGGTGCACAACTGAGTGTAGAAGTTTTCAATGCCTACTGAGTACTGGAAATCAACATGCAACTGTGCCCATTTTTTTCAGGATACATCCACTCTGGGCAATAGATGCTCTTATGAGCTGCAGAATTAATGGGCCTGGCTTTTGTCTGACAGCACATTATAAAATATGCATGATTGAAATCTCTGTTTCTTTTGATTCAGCCGAATCCAAGTGAGACTTGGGGAACACAGTTTGACCAAAAATGGTAGTTCCAAGCAGTACATTGATTCAGTCAAAATCATTCGTCATCCCAAATACAACCCCTGAACTTTGGACAATGACATCATGCTCATCAAACTATCCAAACCAGCCAGTCTCAATTTCCGTGTTTCAGCAATCTGTCTACCAAACAGCTGTCCATCCACTGGAGTAGAATGTTTAGTGTCTGGCTGGGGCAACACCCTCAGCAGTGGTAGTGAGTCTTTTTCAGATTCTTTAACCAAGATAGGGTCATCTGTGATCATATTCAGTTGAGTTTATTGAGCAAAACTAAGGAGAGATACCCCTCAAAGGTCCAGTATGTAGAGGGAATATGGAATGACCTTGAAGAACAGCAGGAAGAGCTGCTTGCAAAGCAAGAGTCAGATTAGTGGAGCTTGATCCCAGACCAAGAAAATAACTTGACCCTGCTACTATAGCTGTTCCAAAAGTAGCCCTGACTTATATGTTGTTGTTTCTTAGTCTGGTCTATCTTGGTGGGCTGACAGAGTGCCACAAAGTGCAGATATGAGAACAGGAAGGTGCAAGTGCAAGGAAAAGGAAAACCAAAAGAAAACACTCAAAGGAAGTGGTTCAAAACAGTATCTCTTGGGAAGGAAAGTGGTGTCATAAAGATATAATAAATGTCAGTCAAACATTTGTTTACTGCATTTTTTAAAAAAAAAAATCCCTCAAACAGCCTAATATGTCCATGAAGCTGCTAATATATATGACAGTCTTGATTCCTGACAATTCCTTGGGCAAGGTTTTATAGTTTTCTTACCAATATTTTTGAATGTGGTTTTGGAAGTGATTTTTGGAAGTGGTGCCTGCAGTTTTTAGTAAAGTTTTTGAAGTAGACAAAAGCCTTCCTGGCCAAAGTTACAACTGCTCATTGAGCAAGAGGTGTAAGTCCAACAACACCCTCAAATTGCACACCATTCTTGAATGGGGAAATACAAACCCATCCAAGGTCATTTTCATATTTCAGATCCAGACAGTCCAAACACCCACATTCAGTCTCGTTAGCATTCAGTTAGAGAGAATCTTGACAGTCTCACTTGGCTGGTTTGGAGTCAAAAGTTATAATTGGGTGCCATCGGCTGTCATGATGGGCTCAGAATCAGAGGAAGGGACTAAGGATGAGCAGCCAGATGAACTCCCATTTCACATGCAAACATTTATATCTATCTATCTATCTATCTATCTATCTATCTATCTATCTATCTATCTATCTTCCTTTGAATGTTTATCTGAAATAAAGACAAAATTAAATTAAATTAATAAATAGAAAATTAAGCATAAAAAGTAGAAATACAAGTTAGAATGGCAGTCTTTCTCCAAATGTTTATAAATCTGAAAATGCCTGGCTGCAGAATGACTGCAGCCATTAATTAAAAGGAGGCATGCATAATTGGGTATCACCACTGAGCAGACCCTACTCTAGACAATACAATACAGTTCTGACCCACCAGTGCAATCATAAGCCTGCTCTAGCTCATCTTAATGAGTACTGTTTCTATAATATAACGAATAGCTCATGGCTGCCGCCCTGTGTTAGTTATTGGGAAGGATCTGCCACAGGGTAGTTTCCTGTGAAGAGGTTTTGGCTTGGCTTCCTCAGCATTTGCTCGGCTGTGTACTCTTGTGAAGCACAGTAGTAGGTGCCTGTGTCTTCCAGCTGGGCATTCTCCAGAGATAGAGGCAAGGCATTTGACTTCAACCCTGAGGTCTTGAAGCGGTTTTTGAAGGGTTGTTCAATGGCAGATTCTCCTGGAGAACCTTTAGATGTAAAAGCCACCAGCTGGAACTGTGAATGGGCTTCCCTCCTCTTCTCTTGCTTGTACCAGGACATATATGTATGGCTGGTCTTAAGTTGAGAACATGACAGTGTGGTTGCACCCCCTTCCATAATGATCACATCTGGCAGCTGAACAATATCAGCAGCTACAAAAAATTATAATTAATTGTTAATAGATTCATTGTGGAAATATAATGAAATTCATTTTAAATAAAGGAAGGTGACAGCTTTGAAAATGAGATATATTTCTTAAAGTTGTGAATTAAGCAATGTAAATGCCTACTATTATTTTTTGTGGCATTGTGGTAAATTGGTTTGTTTGTGTGTGTGTGTGTTTGTATTACATATATCACATAATTTTAATTCAGTGCTTTTATCCCTTCAATTTTTTTATGAGTAACTCAGACATTTGTAAATTCACAACTCAGCTTTAAAAGTTAGTTAAAGAACTAAGTAAACAACTTAGTAAAAACAGGTAAGAATGTTGCTTAAGTTATTGGTCTTCATGATGCACATGAGTAGCACCATCACTAAGATTACACTAGTGACATTATTACAATTTTCTTTTGAAGGCCTTTATTACTTTCAGATTTTCAACTATTTTTCAGAAATTGAAGATAGCAAAGTCATGAATACCTTAGTAAATGTTTTTCTATTGTGCTCCTTTTTAACATCACTTGGGACATGGCTGTCATTTATTTTAAATATTAAAATGTGGCAAGGAAAAGACTCCCAGATTCTACAAATTGAAAGAATAATGATTTAAGTGATGGAAGTAAATCTCTTACCTGATAAGGGCAAGAGAGCAAAAACCAAAAGGAAGCTCATTTGTGGCAATAGAGCATCTCAGCGGAGTCTTCTCTGACTGGGCCAGTCACACTTTATATTAATGTAAAGTGTAACTGCAACCAAATGCAGATGTGAGAACAGGAAGTCACTTGAGCAAGGAAATCAGAATGGAAATATTTGAGCAAGGGAGGCTAAAAGAATGTCAAATAGAAAGACCTGAATGTCTAGATTGACGAATTCTGCAAATTTACAGCCTCATCTGGAGCTGTGAGATACATAAATTGTTTTAGCCTCACAATATTTTGCAGAAGTATTCTCTGAGCCTGACCAGAGGGACTCTCTAGGCTTCCTGGAAGGAGTTCACTCTATAGCTAGATAGTTAGTTTCCAATGAATCCACCCCAGTCCATGAGGATCAATGGCTATAAGCCTTGATGTCAGTCTAACTGCCTTTGAACACCATTTGCTGGGAAACTAGTTGGCTTCCTTGTGCAGCTGGTTGGCCACCTTGACAAACAGATTGCTGAATTACAGGCTTGGGAATCCAATCCAGCAGAACATTACTTAGATTCTAAATGTACTTACAGAAACATTTTAATTAGCATTACAGGTAGTACTTGACTTAGGACTGTTAGTGACTGTTCAATGTTATGATCTACCTGGAAAAAAAAGGGAGTTCTGATCCAGTTCTAACTGGATCATGTTTCCTCCCCCACCAGTAGTGAACACACTTCAGCTACTCAATAACATAGCCCCATGTACAGTCAATTTGCAGTCACATGGCCAAGTTTTACAATATTTTTGCCAAAAACCAGATGTTACTTCTGTTTTTTGGCAAAACTGTATCATGATGAAAATGGGTTTATTTAACAATCACCCCATTCGCTTAATGACGACCAACAAAATGGTTGTAAAATCATACAAGATTCACAGCATACAACTGAAATGAGCAGATCGAATTACTGTCTTAGGCCAAGGACTATCAGTACAAAACAAGGCCCCAATTGTGGAGTTTGTGGAGCCTCCTTAAAACACAGAAAACACCACACATACACACACACACACACACACACACACACACACTCCTGAGAAATACTGCTTGCCTGCAGACTAGCAGGAGGTTGCCATGAGGCCAGTAGCCTCTGTAAACAATCTGAGATTCATATTGTATTATATGGGCCAGGATCCTCTGCAAAAGACAAAAAGGTAAGGTGAGTGCTGCCGGGCCTTGTAGCTGGCCAATCCTGCAACTCCCCTGGGTGGCTGGATGGGAAGTAAGCCTTGCCCTACAGACAGTATCTGTTCTGGTTGCTTCTGCTCAGCAGCTTTTGGCTCCCTTGCCCGATGTATAGCTGGCTTGGGAGCAGGCCAAGGCCTGGGGAATCACGAGGGACAGGGGCCAAGTACCTCAGGGGTAGTGAAGTTCTTGGGAGGCCCAGGACAGATGGGCCTGAGCCTGTGCTATGCCTCCAAGGGCCTCCCCAACCCCATAAACACCCTATGCTTCCCTTAATGACCCACAAATTCATTTTACAATTGCTTTGGGGAGAGGAGGGATGGGAGGGTCATTAAGTAAGATAGTTCACTTAACAGCCATTGCAACATGTGACCATAATGGGCAGGCTCTATTACAGACATAAGTTGACAGCTATCTGTAGTTCATTCTTTTCAAAAAAATTGTTTTAGCCTTCTTTTATTTGGAGTGTGGATTCTGGCACATATACATGTGTGTCATATGCAAACGTGTATATGAACCTCCCAGTTTGTTTTAAAATGGAGGAATCTTTGATTGACCACTTGAGGTTGGAGTTAAGGTGCTGCACAGAACTTTTGCCTGTAAATATTTATTAAATCTGAAGAAAAATAAAGCATAAAAAATATAAATACAAGTTAGAGTGGCAGTCTGTCTTCAAGCAATTATAACTCTAAAAATGCTTTATACAGAATCATGTCTTCAGCTTTGTCACTACTGAGTGTCACCGCTGAGCAGATGCTACTCCTAGATAGCTAAGCCAAAAGTGCCATATGTTTGTGCAATATAATGAATAGCTCATGGCTGCCATCCTGTGTTAATTATTGGGAAGGATCTGCCACAGGGGAGTTTCCTGTGAAGAGGTTTTGGCTTGGCTTCCTCAGCATTTGCTCGGCTGTGTGCTCTTGTGAAGCACAGTAGTAGGTGCCTGTGTCTTCCAGCTGGGCATTCTCCAGAGATAGAGGCAAGGCATTTGACTTCAACCCTGAGGTCTTGAAGCGGTTTTTGAAAGGTTGCTCAATGGCAGATTCTCCTGGAGAACCTTCAGATGTAAAAACCACCAGCTGGAACTGTGAATGGGCTTCCCTCCTCTTTTCTTGCTTGTACCAGGACATATATGCATGGCTGGTCTTAAGCTGAGAACATGCCAGTGTGGTTGCAGCCCCTTCCATAATGATCACATCTGGCAGCTGAACAATAGAAGCAGCTATAAGAATCCATAATTGTTAATTGATTCATTGTGAAGATGTAATCACATTCATTTTAAATAAAGGAAGGTGGCAGCCTTGAAAATGAGATATATTTCTTAAAGTTATGAATTAAGCAGTACTTACTTGCCTACTTATTTTTTGTGGCACTGGTAAATTGATTTAAGTATACATACATACACACATACATATATACATACACACATACACACTTAAGTTAGTTAAACATCAAGTAAACATCATCATTTTCAGTCCTCCAAATAGAGTTGTCTGGAAATTGAGTCTGCCTTGGTGACTGTGAATCTTTATTGATATATTGCCATGCACTTTGGGAAAAAAAAAAACCTGAGTTTGGTGTGGAAGGAGTTGGTACATTCCAATGAATCTGTGTCTAACCAACTTGCACAGGCTGAAGAACCTGCTTGGATGGGCAGCAAAATATCTCAAACCAACAAAAATAAATTCAATTGCTATGATTCAATTTCCAGACATCCAAACAAAAATTTAGTAAAAAGTGATAAGGATGTTGCTTAATTTTTTGGTCTTTGTGATGCACATGAGTAGCACCAGTACTGAAATTACATCAGTGATATTATCACAATTTTCTGTCGAAGGCCTTTACTACTTTCAGACCTTCAACTATTTATCACTAACTGAAAATCAGACAAATAAATACCATATCCTAACTAATGATTTTTTTTTATTGTGCTCCTTTTTAACATCACTTGGAACATGCCTGTCATTTAATTTCATGCTGATGTTAAAATCTGGCAAAGAAAGGACTCCCAGATTCTATAAATTGAAAGAACAGATATTTAAGTGATGGCAGTAAATCCTTACCCGTCAAGGACAAGAGAGCAAACAACAAAAGGAAGCTCATTTGTGGCAATAGGGCATCTCAGCAGAATCTTGTCTGCCTGGGCCAGCTATATGCACATTAATATAAGGCATAACAGCAACAAAGTGCAGATATGAGAACAGGAAATCATGTGATCAAGGAAATCAGAATGGAACCAGTTGAGTAAGGGAAGTTAAAAGAATGTCAAATAGAAAGACCTAAATGTCTGATTGAAGAATTCTGTGAATTTACAGATTCAGCTGCAGCTGTATAAAAAATAAGGTAAAGGTTTCTCCTGCCAGTCATGGGGGTGGTGTTCATCTCCAGTTTACAGCTGAAGAGCCAACATTGTCCAAAAATGCTTCCATAATATATGGCCACTATAGGTTTATAAATTGGTTTCTTCTGGATTACCAACCTGCCTGCAGTCATATTGTTTACGAATTCATAGCACTAGAATTTCAACACATTTTAAGGATACAGGTTTGAGAATCCTGACTTAGACTGAATGTTTTTTCTCTTGGTTCCATGCTATATATTCCCCAAATTGCACACCTCACTTAATATCAATTGCTATCACCTGGTTCATATATACAATGAAGTTACTAATGTAGTTGTCATTCATAATTACTAGTTCTTCCCTGTTTGCATCAGCCTACATAGCCATCTCCCTTCAGGAGCATGACTTCTAAATGCATCCATTGTTACTTATGAGAACTTAGGTTTCACTCTTTTTCTTCACACCCTACTTGGTGCCAGATCTTAAGTGTTTCCACAAATGCTTTTTTGTGATTTTTATCTTATTTAGTGTACTTTAATCTCTCCTTGTTATCACAAAGTCATGTTCTCTCTTCCTGGAGGCATCTCAGATGCCTTCAAAATGAGACACACAATCTTCCTTAAGGTTTCTTCTTTCCAAGAAACCAAGTTCTTTTTATCTTTTCCTAAGCCATCCTTGCCTTGTAATCCTCTTTTCCCTGTCCAACATTGTATCAGAAGCATCTCCCATATCCAATTCAGTCTTTCGGATGAAAAATAATTTTTCAGCCATGAACTGAAAAAGAGCTCTTTAGAGCATTGATAAAAAGGGACAGGATAAAATTAGTTTTCAATAGGTTTTAGCTGCTTCTAGATTATTTGGCTAATTTCTGAAGACGCGTGCTGTATTACTATTATTTGTTATTTTTTAATACTTTGATAACTGTTTTGGAGCATGATGAGTTCCCTTTCTAATAAACTACACACACACACACACACACACACATATACATATACATATACATATATATATATACATATATATATAGTGTTAATAAGTAATATAATTATACATACGAGCATATATACTGTAAATAATGTATATGCATATACAAAATGTAATATTATAATATAAATGCTCTTTCTTAAAAACTATTTTTATGGACTTAAATACATTTTTTTGACCAAAGTTTTGTAAGTTTCTTGAAATTCTCAGAAAAATCCATGGCATAGAAAAATTAAGAATTCTTTCCCTGAGAAGATGGGCAAGGCTCAACAAGTAGGCATTGTCTATCTTGAACATTTTCCTTCTTTACTTGCAGGACATGATGGTAAACGAAACTGGTTTTATTCGTGATATTGAAGTTTCTGAACCAGCACCCTGCAAACTGAGTCCAAGAGACACAACTACAACACCACAACCAAAAGGGCACACCAGATACAAAGCAATTCCAAATGTGGCTTCCAAAGCTGTTAGCACATCCTAGCCCGCTATTCACAGCTTTGGGATTTGTTTGGCTTCACATCTCCCCTTGGGTATGAACTCTGAGGATCCCTTGCCAGTTTGTAGTTCCAAACCCATTGTGGGGCTGCTGTTGTCCGTTACTTTTCTCTGTGACAGGAGGACCCTATGCCAGACCACTTTTTTTTACCGCTATGTGAATGAAGTTCAAACTTGAAACAAACCAGCTAGCATTGGGGAGAAATCCAAATATATAACCTAGAATTTAGAGAGGACCTATCTTTCTTTTCAATTTCAGTCCAATCCTGCTGTACAGTTCCACTCTAGAAAGAAACACGGCATCACCTGGGAGCCCTCTTACTGTATTCCGTGGATTCCAGCTATAAGGAATGATATCTTATCAGAGGACTATCAGTATACTTGCTTGCAGATTTCAGGGTAAAGATGATAAACAGGATGCTTCTTAAATTATAGACCTCTGTTTCTATCAGGTTTAAATACACCAACATCTGCCACTAAGCAGATGTTCTCTATAATAGACACTGGACCCCTGGAATAGAGAAAGCTTGTACTTCCACTTCAAATAATGATACCAATGTGACTTAATTTGCCCTTGATTTCAGTAAAAATGAAGTTATACATAAACCAACGCATAGTATATTTATGTATATTAAAATATAGAAAATGATTGGTAGAAATGCAATATAATGTTAAGTATTATAGAAATGGAACACAGAACTCTCTTTGGGTGTTCTGAAATGTGAAAAAAAGAACTGGATTAGCATTTATTTTATCATTAGCAATAAAATTTTATTTTCAGTTTTCGCAACAACAAAAAGGTGCAATAAAAATATTATAATAACATCTACTTAGTTTGTTAAACTAGATTTGTTAAAACAAAAACAGTTTTTTTTCCAAATCCTTTGCTATAGGAATGAAATGCCCCAATAGCATTTATAGTTTTTCATAAAATGTTCAAAATCCAATATATTAACAATAGTAATTTTAAGATCTTTAATAATAATAATTTCTTTGTAAATATTGTAATCAAAATAAGATTTACTTTCACATTTCATCAACAAAATAATTGTCTAAAAATTATTATAATATATTATTAGGAATATTTCTCTGAATATATTGTATTGGTTTTTTAATTTTAACAAAAGTATTTAAGACACACCGTGGTGTTTGGGTAAACAAACATTCCAAGAAAAAAAAACATACAAAAACAGCTCAACTTAATATATTCTCACAGATAACATAATAGATTTAATATATTCCATTTCTAGCTTAAGTTTCTATTACTACTCAACCTGTTTTAAAGCTTTATCAATTTAGAATTACCATAATCAAATATTGTTTTCTTGTGGAAAAATAAAGCCTTAAAAAAATAAAGGGCTTTTACGAAATTCCATGGGTGAAAGAGAGATCTTTATTTTTGCGCAAAAAGGTTCAGAAGTGATTTAACAATCAGCAAATTTCTGAACAAGGGGGAGGGTCTAAACTAAAGCTTTATAGGTTTCTTTCTCTCAGGAACAAAAGAAGCATAGATGGAATCTTACATTGTATATGGAATCTACTTTGTGTAACATTCAAATAGTTTCTCACACATTAGGTCCATTTCTCATGGGAATACAATGAAGGCAGTTTTTACTTTTATACAATGTTTCTAAATATGCATTAGGTCATTCACGTACTGTTAATACAGCTTTTGGCTAACACAGCTTTCTTTTCAGAGATTATGCAGACACATGATTTTTGCTTTTAGTGATTTTTCATTATTATTATTATTTTACTTTATTCTTCTTTATTCTATGTTATTCTATTTCTTTCCCACTTTACTCCCCCCTTTTGGAAGTTTTCCAGCTTAAACTTCCATTATTCTACCTCTGATTCCGGATCTCCTGAAGGTACCATTTTATATTCCCATAAGGCTAACATTGTTTCATGTTTCGCTGTTAATTGGGCTGTACTTTCTGAGATTCTCCGAATCATGGCTATAAGACAGGGGATCAAGCAAGGAATTAAAATACACCCTAGAATTAACAAAACTTGCAGGCCTACAAACCTTCATAGTCATAGCAGCCTTGTTAATTCCAGGATCCATAGCAGTGGTCTCATTGGTTCCAGACCACCATTTACCATCTTCCCATGTCCCTGTGCATAGGAGGTCACCTACTGCTACACAAGATTCTGTTTTGTTTCTTGAGTAACATACATGTCCTACCATGTTGGAAGTGAGACCCCAATCACCATCTTTCCCACTTGTATAGGTTAAATTATTATTTTTAGACATTTCTAGTACCTTGATATAATTTAACTCTTGTGCCTCCCACGGCCACCTTTCTCCCATGTTTGTTCCACCACACACAAAACAGTTAGACACGCCTAAAGTATGGGCAATGTCTTCTGCTAACTTAACAAAAGTATTGGTTACATGTCTAGATACTTCAGGAATATGTAGGTTCTCCATTTCCTCATAATATGACCAAAATAATGATTTTTGTTCTGGTCTTTTGGTTGCAGTTATAATTTTGACTTCTATTTCTGACATTGGGTCATAGCCATTTGTATCTATTCCTATCCCAAACATCCATTTCTTACTTTCCCACCTATTTTGTTCTAGGAACCAACTGCCATTCTTGACTGTGAGAGTCACCAAATTACAGTTATCTGTTCCACAGGAATTTGCTTTTGTTTCATTCTTTTCAAACAAGATGTGGTCTATCTCTTTTGGGTCTTGGGTATGCCACTTAATACATGACCACCACTTACATTTGACCGCACATCCATCTGGTGGGCACAAGTACTTATGTTTTGGGATAAAGTTGTGAATATTACCAATCCCTCCGCAACCATATGTTGGAGTCCAATAATTAGCTGCTTTGCAAACATCAAAGGTGACGCTAAAACTGGATTGTGGATTGGATTTCCATTGGGAGATCCCTAAGAGTGCCTGGTCCTTGTAGCTAGTTCTTGTTCTATGTGTTTTGATTTGTAAGGCCCAACGATCAGGATCAGACTTCGGGTTATAACACTGATATTGGACACCTTTTCTACAAAATTTATATGTAGTTCTATTGTATGTACAAGAGTCAGGAGAACTATCTTGACACCCTTCTGGTTTAACTGTATGGTAAATCAAAGTCTTGGTTATCTGGTTTCCTTGTTTTGTAGTTTTGATACAGTTTTGACAGCCTTGGTTTCCCTGTGTTTCTGCTCTTTCTTGGTGTGTGCTACTCTATAATTCTTTATTAGAGGGTTTCTGCATTATGACCTCTCGTGTAGCCATTGTACTGATTTGTGTAGGAATGTGTGTGCATATTAAATAATTAACAAATATTACGAGCTGTAGAATCCTCAT